GTTGTTTAATATATTTATAGATGGGGTTGTAAAAGAAGTAAATGCTAGGGTGTTCGGGAGAGGGGTGGGATTAAATTATGGAGAATCAATTTCAAAATGGGAATTGACACAGTTACTTTTTGCTGATTATACTGTGCTTATGGGGGATTCTAAAGAAAAATTGCAAAGGTTAGTGGATGAGTTTGAGAATGTGTGTAAAGGTAGGAAAAATTTGAAAGTGAACATAGAAAAGAGTAAAGGGGATTGAGGGTATCAAATGATTTAGATAAAGAAAAATTGGATATCAAATTTTGGGGGGGAGGAGTATGGAAGAAATGAATGTTTTCAGATACTTGGGAGTTGACGTGTGGCGGATGGATTTATGAAGGGGTGAGGTTAATCATAGAAATTTATGAGGGGAAAAAAGGTGAGTGGTGCGTTGAGGTATATGTGGAGTCAAAAAACGTTATCTATGGAGGCAAAGAAGGGAATGTATTTAAAGTATAGTAGTACCAACACTCTTATATGGATGTGAAGCTTGGGTGGTAAATGCAGCAGCGAGGAGACGGTTGGAGGCGTGGAGATGTCCTGTCTAAGGGCAATGTGTGGTGTAAATATTATGCGAAAATTCGGAAATGTGGAAATTAGGAGAAGGTGTGGAGTTAATAAAAGCATTAGTCAGGGGGCAGAAGAGGGGTTGTTGAGGTGGTTTGGTCATTTAGAGAGAATGGATCAAAGTAGAATGACATGGAAAGCATATAAATCTATAGGGGAAGGAAAGAGGGGTAGGGTTCGTCCTCGAAAGGGTTGGAAAGAGGGGGTAAAGGAGGTTTTGTGGGCGAGGGGTTTGGACTTCCAGCAAGCGTGCATGAGCGTGTTAGATAGGAGTGAATGGAGACAAATGATACTTGGGACCTGACGATCGTTGGGGTGTGAGCAGGGTAATATTTAGTGAAGGGATTCAGGAAACGGTTATTTTTCATATAGATGGACTTGAGTCCTGGGAAATGGGAAGTACAATGCCTGCACTTTAAAGGAGTGGTTTGGGATATTGGCAGTTTGGAGGGATATGTTGTGTATCTTTTTACGTATATGCTTCTAACTGTTGTATTCTGAGCACCTCTGCAAAAGCAGTGATAATGTTTTGGGGTGTGGTGAAAGTGTTGAATGATGATGAATGTATTTTCTTTTTGGGGATTTTCTTTCTTTTTTGGGTCACCCTGCCTCAGTGGGAGACGACCGACTTGTTGAAAAAAAAAAAAATATAATAATAAAAATATTATAAGGTAAAAGTTTCACAAACGCCTGACCGAGTGATCGTCCACAACCTGTTCAGTTTGTTTACGCTGTCTGAGCTCGGTGTATCTCGTTATCTCTCGTTTGCTCTTCGTTAACTAATTGGCTCTCGTTGACGATGGCATCTAAGCTTAGTTGTGATAAAAAGAAGAGTCGTAAGCCTCTTACTTTAAGTGCCAAGTTAGAAATTTATTAAACTTAGTGAACAAGGTATGTCAATTTACTGAGATAGCACGTAAGCTTGGTTTGGCTCGTCAAACAGTTAGTACAGTTGTGAACAATAAGGAGAAAGTGTTGCAGGAAGTTAAAAGTGCTACACCAGTGACCACTAAAGTTATAAGAAAACGTGATAACCTTATTGCTGACATGGAAAAACTTTTAATGGTGTGGATTGATGATCAGACTAGTCACAAGGTGCCTTTAAGCAGAGCCATTATCCAGTCCAAAGCCCTAAGTCTCTTCAATTCTATGAAGGCTGAGAGAGGGGAGGAAGCTGCTGAAGATAAATTCTCAGCTAGCAGAGGCTGGTTTAATAGGTTTAAGGAAAGAAGTCAACTTCACAACATCAGAGTGCAGGGTGAAGCTGCAAGCGCTGACAATTTAGCTGCAGAAAATTATCTACTTGAACTAGCCGAGATAATAGAATGTGGTGGATATACCAAGCAACAGATTTTTAATGTGGATGAGACTGCATTATTTTGGAAGAAGATGCCATCTAGGACATTTATTGCTAAGGAAGAGAAGTCAATGCCTGGCTTCAAAGCTGCAAAAGACAGGCTAACACTCTTGCTAGGAGCTAATGCAGCTGGTGACTGCAAGTTAAAACCTATGATGATTTATCACTCAGATAATCCTAGGGCCCTAAAGAACTATGCAAAAGGCAGCCTCCCAGTTTATTATAAATCTAATTCGAAAGCTTGGATGGACTGCCAATCTTTTCATAAGTTGGTTCACGGACTATTTTAAGCCCACAGTTGAGGCTTACTGCAAGGAAAAGAAAATTCCTTTTAATGTTTTACTTGTTTTAGACAATGCCCCTGCCCACCCTACAGCTCTACATGGTAATGTACAGGGAGATAAATGTTGCTTTTATACTGCAAACACAACTTCATTACTGCAGCCAATGGACCAAGGTGTAATTGCAGCCTTTAAATCTTATTACCTAAGAAGAACTTCATTAAGGCTGTAAATTTCCTAGACAGTGATAAATGCCTGGGCCTAAAGAAAATAAATTAAAAACCTTTTGGAAAGGTTTCACAATTTTGGATGGCATTAAAAATATTAGAGATGCATGGAATGAAGTTAATGAAACTACACTCAAAGGTGTTGGAAGAATCTGATTCCTGAACTTATGGATGATTTGAAGGTTTTGAGAATCCAGTGGGGGAAGTGTGTGTAAAGTTGTTGATATGGCAAGGGAATTAGAACTGGAAAGTGGAGCCTGAGGATGTGGAAGAATTGTTTCTCTCATGATGAGGTTCTGACAGACAAGACTTCTTCTGATTGAAGAGCAAGAAAGAAATTTCATGAAGAGGAGATCCATCCTGTGATAGTCCTGTTACCATTAAAGAAATGAAAACCCAGGATTTGGAAGAAGCTATCAACCATATAGAAATAGCAATGGCAATTTTTGAGAAGATTGATCCAAATTTTGAACGAAGTTCAGAAGTGAATGCAACCCTTTCCCATGATGTTACATGCTATAAGAAATTTTAAGGGGAAAGGGAAAAAAAAATCCATGAGGCCAAAGTCAAGGGCTTTCCTACTTTAAAAAAAAATATCATGCCAACCTTCAACATCAACAGCCAGCATTCAACATCAACAGCTAGCCTTCAACAGCCTTCAACATCAACATACACCCCTTCAAAAGCTTCACACAAGTCTCCAAAACGAATCAAATTAGTTGAAGAATTAGAGGTTTGATGGTCTGCCATCTCCTGATTTGATTCAATAACTACATTGCCACTCACCTCTCACACATTCATTATTAAGTAATTAAAGGTATGTATAAATGTACTGTGTTTTAATTTTAACTTTTCATTGTTTTTTTTAAGTTTTAGTTCTATTGCAAATTTAATATATGTCAGTGTAAATACGTTATCTAGCATTTATATGCATTTACAAGGAAAATAAAAGGGTGTTCCACTTTACGGCAGTTTCCGCTTTACGGCGGTAGCCTGGAACCTAACCCGCCGTATAAGTGGGGCCCTCCTGTATATATAAAATATATTGGTAGTAGGTTGGTAGACAGCAACCACCCAGGGAGGTACTACCGTCCTGCCAAGTGAATGTAAAACAAAAGCCTGTAATTGTTTTACATGATGGTAGGATTGCTGGTGTTTTTTGTCTGTCTCATAAATATGCAAGATTACAGGTATGTCTTGCTACTTCTACTTACACTTAGGTCACACTACACATACATGTACAAACATATATATACACTCATCTGGGTTTTCTTCTATTTTCTTTCTTGTTCTTGTTTATTTCCTCTTACCTCCATGGGGAAGTGGAACAGAATTCTTCCTCCGTAAGCCATGCGTGTTGAAAAGAGGCGACTAAAATGCCGGGAGCAAGGGGATAGTAACCTCTTCTCCTGTATATATTACTAAATGTAAAAGGAGAAACTTTCGTTTTTCCTTTTGGGCCACCCCGCCTCGGTGGGATACGGCCGGTGTGTTGAAAGAAGAAGATATAAAATATGAAATAACTTTTAAAAACACTTGAAATTTTGGAGTTTCCGGACACAATGGAGAGACGGGTTCTTACGGGCTCATGGAGAATGTAAACAAACAGGGTAGGGGTGCGGTGACTGTATTAGAAAGTCAGGTGGGGGAGCCGTATAGAGAGTTTAGGTCATAATTTGAAATGACCACATTAGGGAAACTCCGTTAAAGCGAAATGCCATAAAGCAGGGCCCTGCTGTATATCTACCACAATTTGCTGAGGTGCTAGGTAATTACCTCCATCATTTACACTACAAAGAAAATGTGAATGGGTTGTGGAGAAATAAATTTGAGAACTAGTAATCAAAAATGCCTTCAACCCTCCTGATGACTGTAATAAATCTTAAGCTTTAAATGTGCATCAATCTGTGATGATCTCTCCATGAGTCTTATGTTTTTTCTTCTTGTTGAGGGTTTCAAGAGCCACTCACAGCTTTCACTTATCAAGCCCTGCTTCCTGATGTATAGGGAAGAAACAATACCCAAAGTTGGGCAATGACAGGAAAGGGAACAGGACTTTCCTTTGCAAACAGAAACAGGAACAAAACATTCTGAGTCAAGTCAGTTGGAGCCCATACCAAAGCCCCAGCAGATTGGGAGACCTACTCCCTCACCTGAGTTCAGTAACTTACTTCTTGCCAAAACTTGTGAAATATGCATACAGTGGAAAAATGAAGCTGATCAATGGTGCCAGCTGGCCCAGTGGATAACGCATTGGTCTGAAGTTTTATGACTCTCTGACTGCGGGTTCAAGCCCCACCTGTGGTATGGTTTGTTTGCAATCGTGTCACTACGATTTCATGAGCCCCTATAATAATGTGCCCACTGGGCAGAATAAAGTGAGGATAAGCATTCCATATAGAATGGGAGAAATTTGTCACTGATGTGAGAGCACAACACCCCCATACCAAGGCTGGTACTGAAGTCACATTTTATTTCTCTCTGGTGTGTGAAAAAGTACAATGTGTACTTTTTCAAATTTAAACATTTGTCAATGCATACCTCTACGATCATCTTCCCGCGAGTCTTATTTGTCTCGCGGTGGTTTGCCTTCTTCTGAGTTTGTTGTAGTACACATTATCGGCAGGTCCTGTACTCCAGGGCAAACTCATTTATTGTTGAGCACACTTGTTGAACCTTAATGTCCTGGGGTAAGTATAGTGGTGAACCCAACCACACTAGAAACTGTTGAAATCTGTAAACAAACACTGCTAGTTACAAACATTTTGCTGCACCAAAATTAGAAAATTACATTAACCAAAGCTTTGTTATATTTCATTAATCAATCAAGAAAGACCAACAGAGTGAGACTGTGAAAGAGTAAATAATTCTTTATTAAAATTGTTTAATTTACTTACATAAAGGTGTTCATGTTGTAATATTGTTCACATTGTAAAATGCTGTAATACTTTACCTTTTACTTTAAAACAGAAACATTCTATTATTCCTGGGTCACCAATGATTCAAAGAAAGCACATTCACCAACATTCACTCAATTGTATCTTTCCAGAAGTGTTGACATTACAGGGGTATCCCCTGACTGCAAATCTCCACCCCTCCAAAGTGCAACACTACCCTTTTCCACCTCCGGGACTCAAGTTTCCCGCTAACTGGTTTCCCTGAATAACTTCATAAAAATTTATGCAGGGAAAAAGCCACATGGGAATGGAAATCTTTAGCTCAAGATCCTTCAGACTTGCTATGCCAATGTTGCAAAAATAGCAACAGATTGTAGGGGAAAAATTCTCTTGAGGTGAAGCAGAAGTAAAGTGCCAGACCATGTCACAGTGACTTATTCTGCCTGTTAAGATCACCTGTTTGCCCAAAGTATTTCATAAAATTTTGTTTTTATTAAAAATCTTTTGATATCTAAAAATCTGACCATCTTGATATTTTCTTATAATGGTGCTAGACATTCAATACTGTTCTGTGCTCCTTACCCCGTCCCTCAAATCGCTGATAAATAATTCCAGAACAAAAATATTGCTCTGCACGTCTGCTAAAAACTCGTATTCTGAAAACACAAGGAAAGAAAAAGTTAGTGTTCATTGTCTCCAATCAGCAGACAGAGGCTCACACTCCAAAAGCACATCAAGTATTAAAAAACCATTTGTTTTCCATTCACTCCTATCAAATACGCTCACACATGCTTGCTGGAAGTCCCAAACCCCTCGCACACAAAACCTCCTTTATCCCTTCCCCCAACATTTCTTTGGCCAAACCCTACCTTGCCTTCCTCCACTAAGATTTATACACTCTTGAAGTCATTCTATTTCGTTCCATTCTCTTCATGTCCAAACCACCTCAACAACCTTTCCCCAGCCCTCTGGACAACAGTTTTGGCAATCCCACACCTCCTCCCAACTTCCAACATGAATTCTCTGCATTTTTATTCACACCACACATTGCCCTCAGATATGACATATCCACTGCCTCCAGCCTTCTCCTCGCTGCAACATTCATCACCCATGCTTCACACCCATATAAGAGCATTGGTAAAATTATACTTTCATACATTCCACTCTTTGCTTCCAAGGACAAAGTTCTTTGTCTATCTTTGTTTATCACTTAATATGAATTAAACATTTTATGGAATAATGTTAAAACATAAAATAAATAAAACCCTTTAAGTAACATTTTTTGAAGGGATTCAGGGATCCAACCAAGCCGGGGCTTAATTCCTGGAGATGGGAAGTACAGTGCCGGCACTCTGAAGGAGGGGTGTTAAGGTGCAGCAGTCGTAGGTGGTGTCACATTTATTCAATGTGGAAGTAGATCGTGCCCAAGGGTTAGGCAAGCAAAGAATTCCCAAGTATTAAGATCCCAAGAAGTTGCAGTGTCTGACAGGATTGTAGATGAATGGTTCAAAGAACCGACATGTTGTTAAATTAGACACATGTGCAACTCTTGGGTATCTTTATTGAGGAAACGTTTCACCACACAGTGGCTTCATCAGTCCATACATAGGAGAAACTTGAAGAACAGGAGGAGAATGAGGTAATCAGTCCCTCAACCTTGAGTCGATGTGGTCAGTCCATCAATCTTGAATAGAATACGGCCACATCGACTCAAGGTTGAGGGACTGATTACCTCATTCTCCTCCTGTTCTTCAAGTTTCTCCTATGTATGGACTGATGAAGCCACTGTGTGGTGAAACGTTTCCTCAATAAAGATACCCAAGAGTTGCACATGTGTCTAATTTAACAACATGTCGGTTCTTTGAACCATTCATCTACAATCCTGTCAGACACTGCAACTTCTTGGGATCTTAATACTTGGGAATTCTTTGCTTGCCTAACCCTTGGGCACGATCTACTTCCACATTGAACAAATGTGACACCACCTACGACTGCTGCACCTCTCCTGCCATACGGTTTATAAGCTGCTTCTCCGCTCATATGCCGTATTCTATTCAAGATTGATGGACTGACCACATCGACTCAAGGTTGAGGGACTGATTACCTCATTCTCCTCCTGTTCTTCAAGTTTCTCCTATGTATGGACTGATGAAGCCACTGTGTGGCGAAACGTTTCCTCAATAAAGATACCCAAGAGTTGCACATGTGTCTAATTTAACAACATGTCGGTTCTCTGAACCATTCATGTACAAGTGAATTTTGTCTATTATTTTAAATCTCTTTATATTTACAGTGTCTACTAGCACTGCTTAGGCTGACAGTACAGATGCAGAGTGAGTTCTTATTATGGAGTTGAGTTTTATCAAGTTATATTCAACCAAGGTTTGTTATGAACCAGATCTTTTTCTGCCATACCTGTAGGCATTACCTACAATGTGGAAAAAGACATTTATGTACAGTCCATGACACTTGTCAACATACTGGTAATCATTAAGTGTCCCGTAGCTCAATTGGTAGTGCACTCAGCTCACACAGTGAGGTCGGGGGTCGATCCCTGGTACAGGTGGAAACATCAGGACATGTTTCCTAAGACACCTGTTGTCCATGTTCACCTAGTAGTAAAATAGGTACCTAGGTGTTAGTCAACTGGTGTGGGTCACATACTGGTACAAAAGTGACCTAATATGCCCAAAATGCTCTGCATAACAAGAGGCTTTCTATATATATAGTAGTATGTCAGTGATGTTAGCTATGGTCTGTATACCTTGTACATGTACTTCTTTCTTCTTTCAACACACCGGCTGTATCACACCAAGGCAGGGTGGCCCAAAAAGAAGTAGCAAGACGTACCTGAAATCTTGCATGTTTATGAGACAGAAAAAAGGACACCAGCAATCCTACCATCATGTAAAACAATTACAGGCTTTCGTTTTACACTCACTTGGCAGGACGGTAGTACCTCCCTGGGCGGTTGCTGTCTACCAACCTACTACCTAGTAGAAATAAAATTATCGTTATTATTCATTCAACAGGTGTCTATGTATAGTCCATGACACTTGTAGACACACTGGTAATCATGCATTCAACAGTTGTCTTGCAAGTGTACAGACACCACAGTTTAAATGAACCTCTGAACTGCAACATCCCCACTTACTGTCCCAGTAAATAGCCCAATCTGGGTCTTAATCCACTAGTGTCCCACTCACTGGTTCACTGGAGCACACTGCAAGGAAACACAAACTGCTTAACAAAACCTTAGCTTATGCAATGTTCCACTAACACAAATATTATGACAATGAACAAGATATTACAAGGATCCCAAATGAAGTAAGTAATTTTGACTTTTCTGGGTTATCCTGGGTGATTTGAACACCTATTACTTGGTATGATAATTGTACTTATGTGTACCTGTACCTAAATAAACTTACCTTCTCAATGTTGTGGAAGAAAGTCATAATATTTACAGAATGCTTTTACCTACTAGATCATTCAGCAGTCTTCTCCATAACAAGGTACCATACATACACTCATTCATATTAACACTCAAACTGTCAACAATAAGTATATGCACAATAAAAACTCCCAACCTTCAAAAATAAAAAATGTTTACAATAGCAAGTTCATAATAACAATTACTGTAATACACCATAAATACACACACACAAGTAGCTTCTGGTTAATTATAAAAATCACATCTTAGGCAAAATGATCTCAGTGCAGTGGAACACTGTAAATTAGCATTAATAGCCATCTTACTTGAGCTTAATCTGCGTTTTGTAATGGCTTTTAGATGATCCCACGATTCCTTACAGTCGACCTCTATCTTGGCAATGTTATTAGACAGTTCCTCGAAGCCTACCTTCGAGGCACGGGTGATTGAGCCAATCTACAGGAAAAAATGTAAGCAGTTAATTTGCATTTGATATCTAAGACAGTGGTTCAGTGGTTCCCAACCTTCTGTGCATCATGACCCACCTTGACACTTCAAAAAATCTCATGTCCCCCCAGATATAAAAATAAATTTCAATGTTGAATCAGACACTTCTTTATCCAAAACTCTATTTGTACCTCAGCTACAGCTAGTAAGACTCATTTAATGTGAAACACTTCAGAATCGGGGAAATTGGTTCCCTTGACTGACCATGTAGTGATGGCTGGCAGCCATGCATTATTATGCCATATAAGGAAGCATGGACAACACCAAGACTTGCAAGATCAATCTGAGTGGGTAAACTGTGACGGAACATTATTGACTATCACATAGCATGGAAATGTAAACTCATGGCCAGACCGTGTAATCTCGTGCTCAAACAGTCAACAAGGAGAACTGAAGCAAATATACAGTGTTTTAAGTGCCAATAAAAGGCAACTAAAATGTTAGTAGCAAGAGGCTAGTGATCCTTTCTCCTGTATATATTACTAAATGTAAAAAGAAGAAAAACTTTTGTTTTTCTTTTTGGGTCACCCTGCCTCAGTGGGATGCAGCTGGTTTGTTGAAAGAAGAATACTACTACCATTACTACTACTACTAATAATAATAATAACAACTGCTCTGGAGTAGTTTAAATGCTAGCTATCAAACTTGTACAAAATACGTATGACATTTATACAGGCAAAGTGATGTCTCAGCGTTAAGTATCTCAGACTTCGTCCTACAGACACTCAGCTTTCGCTGTCTCCAAGAATACATATTTATACAAATTTGCACTTTATTGTGCATCCCATAGTACAAGATGTCGGTGAAAAGGAAGATCCTTACTTCACCTGAAGGAAGTGCTAAGAACCAAAGGAAGGCTCTTGATCTCGAGGTAAAAATGAAGGTTATAAATGAGTATGAAGCTGGTAAGAAAGTACAAGTGATAGCCGATGACTTGAAGGTGGCACATTCTACCATTTCCACTATTTTGAGGGATATAGTGAAAGAGGCAGTGAAAGCATCAACAGGATTTCAAGCCATAATAACTAGGCAGCAGAAAGGCCTCATTCAAGAACTGGAGAAATTACTGGTGATGTGGTTTGACTACCAGATACAAAAAAGAATGCCGATGAGCCTTTCACTTATTCAAGCCAAGGCACACATTATCTTTGAGACTTTGAAGGCAGGTGAAGGCGAGGAATCAACATAAACATTTACAGCAAGTCACGGATGAATAAAAAGTTTGATTAAATAACGTAGAAGCACGAAAAAGCTACCCAAATTAATAAAAACTGACATATATGGAGAGGCACTGGAGGATGTGTAGGGCTGGGGCTATACAAGAGAGTGGAGAAGGCACCAGCAGTCTCAGTAATTCATGCTTCACCATGATGTACGGACGTGTAAGCTCACGGCACTATAAAAATAATGTATAATTATTCTATTACTATCAATAAAGGTTATCTACCTATCATATCCATTCCAGACTAATATTAGGTATAACACAAATAATGTAGAAGCATGATAAAGATGCCCAAATTAATAAAAACTGATATTATATAGAGAGGTACTGAAGAGCGGAGGGTGGAGAGGGATAAAAAAAAAAAAAAAGTGACCACGACCATAACAGAAAATGTTACGCGCCTGAAGAGTAACTATAGAAAATGACTCTTACCCTATGCAAAGACTGAAAAAAGTGTGATTTTCTCAAAACAAAAAATTTCCCAAGTAATCAGCTATGTACGTGTTTCCTGGAATCTTGGAAGTAAGTCAGTGACCTGCTTCATGTTTATTACTGTTAATAATAAACAGACTGAAAGGAATTTTCCAACAAACATAAAACCAAAAACCAAATGTTTTACTATTTGGGTGGTGACACTTTTGAAGTGTCGGTAAGGGGTCATTCCTCGGTTAGCAATGAAATCGTTTACCGACAGGGTCTTAGGCCCCTATCTCTGTTGTTAACCCTTTGAGGGTTTTGGTCGTACTAGTACGTCTTACGCGTAGGGGTTTTTGTCGTACTAGTACGCATAAATTCTAGCGGCCTCAAATCTCACAGGAAAAGGCTGATAAGCCTAGATGTGAGAGAATGGGTCTGTGTGGTGGGTGTGCGCAGTAGGAAAAAATCTGGGACCCAGTGGTGCATTGTGGGAATGCCATCATAGTACACAATTTCCCCCATGCCTGTGGTAAAAAGGGTTCCTCACTCCTCGGCGAATTGGGACACTTTTGTTCCCCAGTGGACAGTTCTAATACAGATGGAAGTAAACAGTGAAGATGGTTTCAATTTTTCTGGTGAGGTTTTGACCGAAACTAATGACCATAATATGGGTAATAGTGAGGGAAAACCAGAAACCCCCCAGCCTTTCCCCCTCTGGTGCGGGGCCCGTCGTTCAGTTGTACCAGAATCAAGAGGAAAACCCCTATTTCCCAAAACCCCAGACTCAGATGTGAGCATTGGTGATGATAATGATAGTGATTATGAACTACAAGCTCTTCAAACTTTTTCCCAAGAATGGAGGAGGCAGAGGAGGAGGAGGCAGAGGAGGAGGAGGCAAGAGGAGGAGGAGGCAAGAGGAGGAGGAGGCAAGAGGAGGAGGAGGCAAGAGGAGGAGGGGGCAAGAGGAGGAGGAGGCAAAGAGGAGGAGGAGGCAAGAGGAGGAGGAGGCAAGAGGAGGAGGAGGCAAGAGGAGGAGGAGGAGGGAGGAGGAGGAGGAGGAGGAGGGGAGGAAAGAGAAGAGGAGGAGGAGGAGGAGGAGGAAGAGAGGAGGAGGAGGAGGAGGAGGAAGGGGAGGAGGAGGAGGAGGGGGGAAGAAGAAGAATACGTAATGATAACAATAATACATAATAATAATACATAATAATAATAATACATAATAATAATAATAATAATAATAATACATAATAATAATAATAGGTAATAATAATAATATGTAATAAATGTTCCCCCATGACAGTAACAAGATAAGGGGAGATAACATCTATAAGTGCTGACGTTTGATGAGGGTAAATGAGGGTAGAGCTGATGCCAAAGATGAGATAAACATCGCCCTCCCTTTTTTTTTTGCTGGTATACTACATTTCTGTCTGTCTATTTGCCTGTCTGTCAAGCTCCTGTCTATCCATCTAGCTCTCTGTCTCAGAGAGCCACAAGACTGTGTCATCACTTTTACTCAATCTTCAAGCAGAGTATAGCACTTTGTCTGGGTTCTTGGGTTATCCTAGGAAATTTTAAATACCATGTATTCTTGTATTTATGTGTACCTGTGAGACAGAGATAGACAGACAGATAGAATGAGGGAGAAAGATAATTAGATAGAAGGGAGGAGGGGAAGCAGCATCCGCCCCCATTGTTTTGCCCAGGCGGGGGGGGGAAAGAGTAATGAGCAATATATGTCACTTTGACAGCTGCTGACTCCTTGTAATTTACACTATGGACGAGGAGGAGAAGGAGTAGGGGGAAGGGGAAAGAAGAGGGGAGGAGGAAGAGGAGGAGGGGAGGAAGAGGAGGAGAAGGAAGAGGAAGAGTAGGGGGAAGAGGAATAAGAGGAAGAGGAGGAGGAAGGGGAAATTTGTATGAGGAGATTAGGGGGAAAGAGGAGGAAGAGGAAAAGAGGAGGAGGAGGAGAAGAGTAGGAGGAAGAGGAAGTAGAGGAGGAGGAGGAAGAGGAGGAGGAAGAGTAGGGGGGAAGAGGAGGAAGAGGAAGAAGAGGAGGAGGGGGTTTGGAAATTTACTAGTACATGGTCTGGTACACTAACATTTTGTCTGTCTATTTGTCTGTCTGTCAAGCTCCCTGTTTTATCTTTTAAATCCGTCAGCTCTCTGTCTCAGAGAGCCACAAGCTGTGTCATCACTTTTACTCACATCTTCAAGCAGGTATAGCACTTTGTCTGGATTTCTTGGGTTATCCTAGGTAATTTATATTATGTATACTTGAAATTTATGTGTACCTGTGAGACAGAGATAGACAGACGATAGAAAGAGAGACAGATTGAAAGAGATAGAATGAGGGAGAAAGATAAAAGACCATTGTGATGACACCATGTTTCAGAGTTCCACAAGCTGCAGAACTAATAGGAATATGTTCAGTGGCTGTATATTGGTATATATATTATAGAACAATAATAAAAAAACAATGTTTTGTATTGTTTGTTTTTGTAAACAAGTTTTGTAAACAATATATTGATAATTATGTTTGTGTGCTTATTTTTGTTGTATACAACGTGTGTATATATGTACATTGCACCTTACTTTGGTCTCATAGGCCACATAAGTTATGTGAAAAATAAAATAGTGAAAAAAACAACAAAACCCTTTAAATACAAGTAAACTAAAGTTTACCGGGTGAGCGGCAGTCGCCCCTGTTGCCATTACGCGGCTCATTTTCTGCAAACTTTATGCATCCATATCTCCGTAAGTATTGATGGTAAATTTTTTTTGTTTATCCTATAATGTTTAGAAAAAAAAAACTCTATTTTTTCATAAGAAAAAATAATTTTTTTTTTTGAAATTTGGCGACCCTGAGAACGAGTTCGGAGAGGGCCTGTCGACCTCAAAGGGTTAGTGAGGAGAGGCGTATTCACTTTGCCCTATATTAAGACTACAAAAATTTTAATGAGTGTACACTATATGCATTTTATCACTCTAGGGCTCTTTAACCCTTTGACTGTTTTGGTTGTATATATACGTCTTACGAGTCAGTGTTTCGGACGTATATATACTCAATAATTCTAGCGGCTTCAAATCAACCCGGAGAAAGTGGTAGGCCCACATGTGAGAGAATGGGTTTGTGTGGTCAGTGTGCACCACATAAAAAAAATCCTGAAGCAAGCAGTGCATAATGAGAAAAGAAAAAACTCTGACCTTTTTTGGATTAAAATGAGACTATTGAGGTTGTACTTTCGTATAGTATTTATCGGTTGTATTTCGTTTTCAGGTCTCATATGATAAAATGGAAAACATATTACAGAAATAGAGAGATGATTTTAATTAGTTTCACATGAAAACGACCTTGAAATTGAGCTCAAAGTAGTGGAAATGTTCTATTTTTACCAATGTTCAGGAGTAAGCAAATCACACACACGTCCAATACATGTCAACTGGGGAGTCTAATATTCTTTCACTAGTGCACTGATATTATTTATACATTTTTACAATAATGCAGTAGTCTACATAACAGTAAATTTTGTATTTTT